CCAAGCAGCCCAGATTTTCTGTTCATTCTGCAATGGCAAATCCCATCATCTGCTCACGGCATGGAACAAAGGGAAAACAGGAGAGCTTTGCCTAGGCTGGCAGCTTTTGGTCGCCCTGTGCACAGGAGAAAGTGGTTGCATATGACGTGTGCATCTGGTGACATAAAGCATGTTTATACCTGGGCAACAGAGCGTGGTGTAGAGTGCCCCAAGCTAGCGACGACCTGAGCTACCACAGTCTACTGCAACTAAGGACTTCAGTGATTAGTCACAGGCGTCATGAGGCAGGACGTCAGGCTCTCTCAACATCCTGAATCCCATGGCAACTCAACTCAAGGACAGGAGCCCCAGCGAGAGGGAGAACAGGGTACATACACACCTAACAGATCTAGGGGAGGTCTAATTAGCAAATGTATCATACCAAGAGGAACGGCACATCCACGAGTGTTAAGCTTGCACTTACCAAAGAGATGAGAGCTGCATTTTCAGGTCCCTCCCCTGCCTGTATTCCTTATTCATATTTACAGGTAGCTATGGTGACTAGAGTCAGACAGGAGATTTATGTCAGTCTCGATGACTACTATAATACATGTAAACAGAAAATGCCTGCCTTAGAACAGCACTTTCCTGCTAGGGAGATGGCCACATTTTGACTTGGCTATAGCCCTTCCCTTCCCCTTCCTGCATCGAATGCTTTCCTGTAGACCCTTTTGCCCAGCCTGGAGCCAACTGACTGGAGCATTAAAAAAATTAAATATTTTCCTTTCCCCTCTTTGGGGAGCAGAGCAGACATGTGCCCTAGACAGCCCTGCTCATGGTGAATGACATTTTTCTTAACTTGTGAAAGCAATACTGCTTCTGTTCCATGCCCCCCGCCCCCCAATGCACATCCTGCCTCCAGACATGCTTCTCCCCTCTCCCAGATGTGAGGGTCGGAGGCTTTACTTGCCCCATCTGTCTCAAATCCAATGGCAACCACTGTGGCAGATTCTGCCCTGCTTTATTTCTCATAAACATACGAGTCCTTCCATAAACCCCTCCACAACTACTGTTGTGCTGGAGTAAACTTTCTTTTGGCCTAGTATCAGCAAACGAAGCTTCAGCCCAAGGGGAATTTGGCACAACAGCAACTTATCTGCATGACATGTGAATGGTTGTAGAGCTGACATTTCCCTCTATTGCCAATATCGGAGGAAACGTGAACAGGCAACCTAGAGCACAACATCGTTTTGTCTCTAATTTTCTCCCCACCCAATAAATGCTTCAGAGACTTTTTGCAAAGCAGAAATACTTGTGCGTGGTCTTGCGCTTGAAAGCATATCCAAATTATAATTGAATACATTTCTCTAAAACAAAGATAATAGGCTGAGGGCTCGGGAAAATAATGCTTTAGGTGAACGTCTGCTGGAGACAGGAAAGCTGTCTGGCAACAAATTCTTTGGGGAACACACAGCTCGATGCTCTTGCTGAAGGGGATCAAGCGAAATTACAAGACAGGGAAAAGTAATGTGTCTTGAGAGGTTAAATGCAAAAGCCTGATTGCTCCTCTCAATTATCCCAATCTTACTTTGTGAATTCGCTATTTGAGAAGTGCTTATTTTCGAATTATACTGAGATGAGCAAGAGGATAAGTCAGTGAAATTACTAAATTAAAACCAACCATTTTACATAATACGTGCAACCCAACCGATTTAGTACAACAAATTCTGTACATGTTTGAAATATCATGAAAATAGTGTCTTTAATATACAGTTTATATACTTACAATACACGGTTTAAATTTGTTCATATACATTACAGGGATATTTATTTGCACCTGGTTTAAATAATAATCTGCCTTCAGCCTTTTACACAAAAGCCCAAAACAGCACAGAATTCCACAAAAAACATGCTAGTACAACAAATTCTGTACATGTTTGAAATATCATGAAAATAGTGTCTTTAATATACAGTTTATATACTTACAATACACGGTTTAAATTTGTTCATATACATTACAGGGATATTTATTTGCACCTGGTTTAAATAATAATCTGCCTTCAGCCTTTTACACAAAAGCCCAAAACAGCACAGAATTCCACAAAAAACATGCTGTTTATTTGCACCTGGTTTAAATAATAATCTGCCTTCAGCCTTTTACACAAAAGCCCAAAACAGCACAGAATTCCACAAAAAACAATCTTTGTTTTATAACGGAAATGTACCAAGCCAAAGTTTTGGGGCTTTCTCTTTTTGTTTCCCAAGTGTCACTTTTTTGACCTACCCAAAGTGAATCTAAGAGCTAAGAACTAACAAGATATTTTCAATATAATTCAGAAGATTGTCCAAGTCAAGAGAATCACTTTGCAGATTTTCACACTGAAAATTTGGTTATTATGCACAGAACTGATAAAGTCTGAACAACTCCTGGACTATTAGGGTTTAAGACATAACAAATGAAGAGTCATTTATTGCTAGGTCTCAACAAGGGGCCTTGCATTTCCCTACTGCCCTGCCGTCCCTAATACCGCGAACAGAATGGACGACCCCACACTTTGATTACGATTTCATTCATACCTTCTAGCTCGTACACGGGAACGCTCAATTTCAGAGCATCAAAAAGAGGAGCCCGGAGAGCTGGGCTAAGCCCTTGTCCTTTCACATAGGGCTGGTGTTTGGCTTTTAAGTAGCGTGGCGTACCCCCCGCCTGGCCCACAGGCAGGACTTCGCTGAGCTGCGTTGCAGGCAGGCACCCCGCTGGGCAGCACGCAAGTAACTGGTGCCAGCACACTTTATTTAGCGGGAAGTCAAGGAGTTGAGTCAAGAAGAGAACATAGGAGAAAACACTTCAAGTATTTATAGACAGATTTGAAACACAGTGGTTTTTGAGACAGCATCGCTGTTTACGCTTTTTCTCTTGAAGCTGTTGTTGTGAAATAAAGTCAATTAAAGTGGCAAGTAAAGCTGTTATATTGGAAAAAACCCCGTGTAATACACAGTTACTTCAAACCCTCGCTTCTAGCTGCAAAGAACACTTCAAAATACATTTTCCTTCTAATTTTGGATGGACCAAATGTTTTCTGTCTCTAAGTTTCTAGCCGTAGGCAATTTTTACAATACGGCAAGATTAAGAACGCAAATATGCACTTTGAGTTGATTTCAATACAGCTTTGGTTAGCCAGCCAGGCAGCAATACAAGAATCTTAATCCTAGGCACAATGAGTGTTTAAAGGAAACCAGCATTTCCCCTCCAGTTTCCTCCCCATCCCTCCCCTGGCCAATTCTGTGTCCACCTCCAGAAAAGCCCCCATGCCAGAATCCAGCTTTCGCTGCTGAAGGCAGCATCAAGTCCTTGCGCTGCCATGTGACTGTTGCATAGAAAGGATGCGTTTCCTGGTGTAGGACAAAGAGACAGCTCCATGCAGAATGACATGCCAGATTTTTTGCTACCAAACCCCCAGACAAACAAAACCCCCCAGGATAACACACAACTTCAGACAGCGATAACTAAATAAGCACCAGAGGCCTTACATTTATTTAATCTGAGGAAAGAAGTCCAAGGTTAGGACTGGCCTATTTCAGTAGACTGCCTCCAAAAAGTAAGAGATTTTACGCCGCTCTGGCACGACATGCGTTGTCTGAACTCAATGGCTACATCTCTGTTGGGAGACAAAATGGGCCAGAGCCTGCTCTCAGGCCCCAAGGACAACCAACACAGCTCACATCAACACGGTTGAACTCCATTACCCTCCAAAACGAGGCTGGTTTCCCCCACTGCTAACCTCCGAGCTGTGCTTGGGAGTTGTCTGGGATCACCCATTGCACAGGCTGGTTGGGTTGCACCAAAACAGGCAAGAGCCCACATCAACAGTTCAGCAGCAAGGGACTCCCACGAAGGAGTGCCCATGCCCCAGCGCTGCTCGGTTTGCAAGTCCTATCAAACGCTGAGTGCTGTCTCCTATTCACGTCAGCTGGTAAAAAGTTTGTATCACAGGGATATTCCCCAGAGCTTTCAGACACTTCCTAATCACAGTGGGAACATTAAAGTAACCCTCCATCTTGAAGTACAAGCAGCAGTGCAGCATTTTGTAACCTTTTAGAGATTTAAGTCTCCAGGTTTTACACCCCATCATTCTAAAGAGACTGCATGGTTCTCTGCTAAGGCCTGAAGGACTTCTCTGCTCCTGCCCCATTTCAAAGGTGCCACCATCCTTTTATTGCCAGGGACTTCCCGTGAGACTGACGTGTTCGCATCGGTCTGCCCTGTTCAGACTGCCTTCTACAGCGCCAAAGGTGGTCCTGACCCCCTAACACCACAGCAATGAAGCTCAAGAGGAAAGCAAATAAATTAGATCCCACGGGCATCACTGCTGCCATAACCTGGCTACCTACACAGCAGTGGAGGGGCTGAGCCACCATACTCCAGCTGCCCAGTTTGCTCATCTCTCTCCCGATTTCACCAGAGCAGACGTTTCAGTCCAGCTCGGGCATCACAAGCACGTAGTTCGACGCCGCAGTCATATAATTCACACAACACAAAGGTTAGGAACACCTAAATTGCTAAAAAAGGCTTGGAAAATTAAGGTGGTGAGCTGCTAAGGGCAAAAGAAAAGGTCAAATGCTAACATATTATGCATAAAAGTAAGCGGTGCCAAGCCAGAACAAGACAACTGGAAGGACATCAATAGCAAGTTTGCAATTAAAGGTTTTAGCTGTATTTTTGCACACAGGATCTGCTTCTGGAATCATTGCACATTTCTGGGACTTTGAACAGGCCAGGTGTATTTTGGTCTATGCATACGTGATTTTAATGCAGCACACTCACGAATGCAAATTCCACCAGGCTGCTTGCAAGAAAAACCATTCCAAGCGGGTAAGCAGAGATAACAGAATAGGTAACCATCCGTAGTCAAACAACACTATTTTCTCAGGGATGTTAATATCCTGGGGGCATTCAAAATATTTAATGTTAATATTACCAAGACTGCCATCTTTTTTTTGAGAGCGATATTTTTTTTTTTTTTACCTGGAATTAACAAGCCAAGCAAAACAAAGAAAAGTACCTGTTATTTAAAATTTGGCCCTTTCGAGTTTGAATGCTCATTTGACATAGCGAGGGTTAAAATGCAATTGACTTCAACTTGCACATGCCTACCAACAAGCATACACATCTGAACAGTACTTGAATTTGATTTAGACTTACTTGCAGCTAAAATATTTTAGGACGCTAATTAAAACACATCTGGAGAAAGCTATTGATCTGTTGCTCAAAGTCAATACATTAAGAAAAGGAGTAGGATTATGAACTCTTGGGGTTTTTCTATTGGGATATTTTTTGGCTCACTGCTTTCTAGTACCCACATCAATTGGGCTTTGCTTTTCTGGTTGGGAACTGGTGGTTTGCATTATTGCAAGACAAATGATGCATCTTGGCTTTGGCATGGAGACATGACATGAAATTTGCCCGGGCAACAGAAAACTCCATTTGCAAATAAATTCTTTTTAATGAGTGAATTTGGTTGAGAAAACAGGCAAAAGCAGCCTCTCCTTTTTGTCCCTCCTCTGTATTTCCTCTTGATGCTCCCACTACATGCCCTACAATGGAAAAAGAGAGATTTTTTTTGTACTTCAAAAAGGTAAGAAAGGCAGGTGATGGTGTCACCCTGGCCAGGGCTCTGCTCAGCAGCAGGTGAAGCTGCTCCAGCATCCCTGGCTCTGACCACCTGAGGATCCTGGGCACTGAGGATGGACACCACAGACTGTTTCCTGAGGACCTCCACAAATCCTTGCATTCAGTACCACAAAAGCAGAGGATCCAGGGGTTATTTAGACACATCAGAGACCTCTGCCAAGCACAGGAAATCAGCAAGGGACTGTCAAAAGTTAATCCTATTTCTAGCCTTCTGAGCAGTTAAATTTGAAAGGTCTCCAGGGGCAGCCTAATGTCCCCTTCCCATCTCTGTGCTCCCTTTTGACTGCTACTTCCATGTGACATCTATTGCAGTGAGTTTTTGCAGCTGGGCAACTGAATTGGCACGTCTTACGATGCTACAGTCCCTCCCACTTTGACACCCACATCCTCCTAGCCCACTGCAAACAAGACAGGTGAACTTAAAACATCACAAGCATTTCCCAAGGCATGGCCCAAACCCTCACTTGACTCCTCCTTACCAGCGTGCCATGTGCTGTTTCTGTTCCCACCTCGCTAATGCTTTATTTCAAAGGCATCCTACAGGAGTACTATCACCTTCCCACACAGATCCGACCACAGGAACAGGATAGCACATTGAGCGCATTTTCAGATGACAACAACAGCAGCAGAGAAAATATAAGGGGTTGCCTTTCGCCAGAGCAAGGCTACTGCAAGGGCTGTGCTAGCTGGCTACTGCGGCAGGCAGGATCTGCCGAGAGAAGAGTCTGTGCACTGAACTGCCTTTCCCATGAGAAAGCTGCACAACCAGAAGTCATGCTACTTACTCAAGCCATCCGACTACAAAAGCAACTTTTGAAATCTACAGGTCATAAACTTTTAATTGGCCAGGGCAGAGTGGCTCAGTAGGAAAATCCCCCTTCTCCCTCCCCCTCTGGGCAATGAGCTAAGCAAGACTCTTGTTTTAAAAACATTTAACTCTTTTTGCTCAAAGTAACATGGAAAATGTATCCACGTTACAGGTAGTCAGGAAGATACTGTTAATAAAAATATGCTGCAAGAATAGTGTATTAGTGGCACTTCACAGCAATTCTTAACATTTTCAGCTGTAGTGTGAAAACGATGTTTTTGTATATCTGAACATGCTTTTTGTTAACAGAAACGGAAGAAAGTCACAGCATGTTGCCAAATATTATTTGAACAGAAATAAACCCATAAGAAATACATTTTTTTTGCAGTTAACACAAAATTGTAAACTGGATCGGTGTGTGTCTTTCAGCATCAAATTGTTCAGTAATAAATACGACTAAGTCTTAACAGACTATGGAGTAAAAGTTCCCTTAGTGTCCAGTTTTTAGCAGCTGTTGAATGTTCAGGGATGCTCAAGGCACACCTCTGCAGATTCTCTATCTTTATTATTGACATACAAAAAAAAAAATCCATTCACCACTCAAAACCATTTATCTGCATAGTAAGAATTTTTCTACTACTATTTACAGGAAGGGCTTTTAGTGCAAAAAACAGGAAGTGATGTATTAGCTGAAGTGCATCGAGCACATCTCGTACAGTTTCACTAATAACTAGTCGGCATCACATCTTGGGCCGCCAGCCATTAATGAACTGTAGTATTTTCTTAACCTGCAATTTGCTTAGCTTAAAGTCTTCTGACAGGATTTCTTCCGTAAGCTGAACCAGTAAATTGCCATCAATCTTCTCTGTAACAAAAAACGATATGACATCTTCTGACAGACCAATAAACCTCAGCGATTTAGACACTTCCTCTACCGAGAGTCCAGAAAGGTCTGTGGGCGGCTGCCAGGGAGAGCCATCCCCACAAGATCTTGGTGCTAACTGGAGGTGGAGGGGAGACGAGAAGGGATAAGACACAGAGAACGTATCCTGCATGCCCTTTTTAACGAGATACTGATCTTCCAAGAGGTCTGGAGAACCAGTTTTCGACTCCTCCTCAGCACCATCTATTTTCAGCGGCAAGGGACAGATGTCTGTAACCATTTTCTCTTCACTTGACTTCGGTGCCCGAGGAGGTAAGGCAGGACATGAATGGCTCTGCTTTGTGTTGCTGACTCCCAGAGTTTTCTCATCAGTGCAGTCTAGAGAGTAACTTGCCGACTTTGGACAGCTAGAGATGGTGTTCGTGAACTCTGAGGGGGTCAGCGGGGAGTACCCCGCCGGGAGCTCACACCCATCGAAGTCAAAAGTCAAAGGTGCTGGGCAGTTTCTCTTTGGCGTACCTGGAGTCTTCTGTCTGGGGTAACTGTAGCTCCTGCTGGGATCGAGCAGGAAATCACTCCTATTCAGGCCTTCAGCAGTTCCTGAAAAATGGTTTGGCCAAGACAACCGCGAAGGCAGAGCTTCAGTTGAAGGGCTTCCCAAAGGCATCGTGCTCTCAGGCTCTTTGGATTCGGTTTTCATCATGTTACAAGGGTAGCAGGAAACAGGTGTGCTCTCAGTTGGGTTGGTGTTGTCGCTCTCTGTGACATTGCTTAAGGAACAAAGCAGAAAGGATGTTGTTAGTACGAAAAAATGTGGCATTTGAATAAATTCATAAATCATCTGACAGAGTCAGAGGGTGGCTGTCAGAAGGAAAGAATCTTCTTTCCTCCGGCAGAACTTTTCAGATTTGAATTAACAACACATTTGAATAATGCATTGACAGTTCTTTTACTCATTCTACAAGCCTGACAAGATGCTGATATACCCAAAAGCCTCATGTCTTGGTTCTTCAAGCTCGTAAAAAAGTACATGTCTCAATTCAGTTCTGTGTCATCTCCCGAATACTCAGGTTTTCCACTGTCGAATTCCTGAGGGACACCACCATGGAAAAGGAACAGCCTCACATATACTAGAAGATGTTCTAATCCTGTATTTTATATTTATATACCACAGATGTGTCATGATATGCAAAAGCTCGTAATAGGGGCAGGTCACCATTGCACTAGACCCAAGCTTGACTGACATAAGAGATGACCAAAAGCCCTTTTGGAGCCAACATTTTCATTTATTATGCCACTTGCACGTGCACAGGGCAGAGGATCCTTCCCCACCAGTCACCGGTGCAAAAACTGCACCAGTGCACAATACAGTAACACAGAATAAGTTACTTATAAGCTTACTGCCAAAGGAAGAGTTTTACTTGGAAGGGTAAGCAGACCTGGCTGTATGTGTTGTGTGTCAAGGCTTTAAGCTTACCCCACAGTAACTTGTTTGTGCATCCATATCCTTAAAAAGCTATGACGAGAAACACTTGCTTTTCAAAGGCACCTAAAGTTACCCTGACCTACTTCCAGGTGGTAAACTAGCTCAGCCTGTCTGAGGGAACGGATAGGTTTATATCCAGGTGAGATGGATTCATCTCCTGAGAGACAGAGGTGCCAACAAAAGCATGCAATCTGTTACAAAAAGCAAATGTTTGCTGCTTTTATGCCACTTTCTTTTAGAAAGTCTGAAGGATTGGGTTATCTCTGGAATTCTGGTCAATTAAGCCAGAACACTGGAAAAACAATTAGCAGATTTATAAAATCCTTACCTAACAGAACAGAGGGAAACCAACTGTTGAAATAATTGTTTTAATTACTCGCCTCTCTCTTCTGGAAACTAACTACTCAAGAAAGAAACTAGGTAGTCATTCTGTGACAGCTCAGTGAAAACTGTTTGAGGAGGGCAGCAGCTTTCAAAAAACCAGCATAGTTTTGAATGGATTGACACAAAAAAAAGTTCCCTGTGCCCTTACAGTGAGTCAGAGACGAAGCCAGCCTGGACTTGCCCAGCTCAAACACTAAGTGCAGATGCATAAAAGCAGCTCTAATCTGTATCACTGGAAAATTAGTTATAAAATTCAGCCCCAAGAGATGCAGCTTCCCTCTCTGTCTAACCATCCCTCACTCTCCACTCCATGCCCTCCAAACTTTTCTTTTTTCCTGTTTATGTCACAAATACAAGTCTGCAAGTGAAAGCAGCTGGATATTTAAAATAGCAGACTTTTTTTTTCCTCCTCAACAAGGATACACTGTCAACTGGTCATTTCTGGCTGTTTGAAAGCCAACTGTTGTAACGTACACAGTGCAAAGCATTTTTCACAAATCTAGCCATTGGGCTGTTCAAGTCAGGGAAGACAGTCCGTGAGGTGTTGTAAACAACTAACCATACAGAGGAATTAAATTGATTGATCCTGTTTCTGTTCTCTAATTCAATATTAGAAATGGGAACATTTAATGATTTAAAAGATTAATGGAATTACTGAAAACTGATAAAGTAACATTTTCAAAGTGCTTCCTTATTTGTCCTCCACCAAAATTAACTCACTGGGACTCAGTGCCAAAGGATGCAAGAGAAACCTCAAATACAGCTGAAGTCAGACATCAGGCATTTTTACAGGCAGATAAGGACAAATCATACTGGTTTTGTTTGTGTTTAAAATATTGGCTGCAGCCCTTCACGATCCAGAAAATAAGATCATTGATAAAAATGGCAATACTTGAAAAGCAACTTCACCAGCAATCTGGTTAGTCCACACATTGCCAATTTTCTAGCAGCTTCCTCTGCAGCACTAGGTCAATTCTACCAAGATGGAGATATCTGGTCTGGACCCAAGTTGGAGATGAATTTCATGCAAATATTGTGAAGTTTGAGGCAAATAATACCACCTGAATTCCCAAGTAACTTCACTTCTCACTGTTTTCCTGCTTGCTTGGGAGGCAAATGTATTCTTAGCTACAAAGAGAGAAAGCAGCATTTGGTGGGCCTCAAATGCTGGGAGGTGTTGTGCCTCCTGTGGAGTAGACCTTGACAGAACTACCCAACAGGCTTTCATAAAAGCAAACGAGCAGCCTTGATCTAGAGTGATCATTGCCAGACACACAACACTAAGCTGCAAATGTGCAGTATGGCTGAGAAAGGCAATTCCAGCATAAGTTATTATACCAATTCCATCTAGGCTGAAATGATTTGGCCTTCTACGATGGAGTGACTACAACAGTGGATATGGGAAGGGCTACAGATGTTGTCTGTCTGGACCTCTGTAAGGCCTCTGACACGGTCCCCCACAACATCCTTCTCTTTAAACTGGAGAGGTATGGATTTGATGGGTGGACTGCCCGGTGGGTGAGGAATTGGTTAGATGGTCGCATCCAGAGGGTAGTGGTCAACGACTCAATGTCCAGATGGAGACTGGTGACGAGTGGCATCCCGCAGGGGTTCGTCTTGGGACTGGTACTGTTTAATATCTTCATCAATGACATAGACAGTGGGATCGAGTGCACCCTCAGCAAGGTTGCAGATGACACCAA